CCAGCTCTGTCAACACGCCAGGCGGCAAGACTCCTAGCATTGGTCCAGCAAACACAAAGCCATCCACCGCTACATCTGCTCATACGCCCAACACTTCAAAGGAAGTAGTGCCTTGACTGATTTGGTGTCAGCTTGCTACTATTACAGAGTCAAGCTGACCTGCAATATTTCCATAAATAAATCAAGATAATAAGTAATAGATTTAATAATCAAATAATATTACAAAAATGAATGACATAAAATGTCCCTTACAGAAACTAGTGACATATTACAATACATCATGACACGAGACTGTGACATGAGATGAGCAGATTTCCCCTGTCAAAGCTCCTGGGAAATTATACATCATCCCCGATTCTTAGAGATGACCGGTGAGCTCAACTTCCCTCTCCCTTTCCAGTTTTGGTTACTGGTACCTACAGTATAAAAAGAACCAGTAAAAAAGTTAGCTAGGAATAATGAGTTTACCAGTTTAGTATTTTTCCATATCTTTTTCCAGTTTACATCCTTTTCCAATATAATTTTGTTACCCAGCACACCATCTTATATCATAACTCAGAGCACCACATACTCCCTTCAAGCTCAGCACTTGAGTGCCAGTAATTTGTTGCCAAGGAATAGCTTTACTTGCTATTCCTCTGTCCATACACACTACTTGGACCAAATACCCTAGTATCACTAGGCCCCATAAGACTATGCTGCACAAGTGAACCGCTGTGACAAGTGTGTTAAAAGCTAGTGATCTCAGGAGGGCATTGTAAACACCCCCGCAACCCGGGCCCCTCCTTTTCAATTCTATTATCACTTCCTCATCCAATACCAAACCAGCCTTATCAGCCGGTGTAGCTAGAAGACCTACTGTTTTGGCATCACCACGCCTGACATTTGGAGAGCCCTGCACTCCATCATGATGGTAAAAATAACAAACCTTTTGTGTCTGACTATGTTTCTCCTTCTCCTTGAATCTCATCAGCGCATCTCCGGCTGCTCCAACAGCTTCAAATGACAGGTATGCCAATGTCAACACAAACAAACCTAATCCTGCCCCTATGGGCACTGGTGGAATCCCCACGACTCCAGGGGCACACTCTCCTGCCGGTGCTCCCAGTCCTGAAAATAATGCCACTCTGATTGGGGGGAAAAGTGCTCCAAAAAACAGGCAAGAAGAGGCCCCTAGTGGACCGCCAGAGGACAAGAAAGAAGCCTTCCATGCAAAGCTCAAATCCAAGATGGGTGGCGGTGGTGCCATGGGGGGTAAGCTTCCAATGATTAAGCAAGGGGATGTACCAAGTGAAGTGCCAACAGAGGACAAGAAAGGCGGTATACTGGAGAAGCTCAAATCCAAGTTTGGAGGTGGCATGGGGCAAGATGAGCAAGCAAGGGGAAGCACCAAGTGAAGCACCCATGGAGGAGAAGAAAGGCGGTCTACTCAAAAAGTTCAAATCAAAGGTCGGAGGCGGCATGGGTGACAATGGGATGAGTGGTAGTATTGGTAATGGCATGGGGTTTTTGTTCAGGAAGCAAGGGGAGGCACCAGCCGGTGGACCACCAGTAGAGGAGAAGAAAGGTGGCCTACTAGAGAAGCTTAAATCCAAGCTTGGAAGCGGTACCGGTGCCGGTGCCACTAAGCCAGGAGGAATCACCAAGCAAGTAGAACAGACAACCATGAATGTTGTCTGGAAAAGACAAGATGCACCGGCCACCCCTGAGAATCCGGAAACGCCAACCAAAGAAGAAGCTAAACCCCAGGAGCCTAAACCAAAGTCCCCCAAAGACACCAATCCCAAAGCAAACAAGGACTCCCAGTACCCTAAAGCAAAGTCACCTAAGGACAACAAGCCAAAGTCAACCAAGGAGAAGGACAACACATCAAGAACACCCAAAGACTGCCAGGACCCCAAGGCCAAATCACCCAAAGAAAACAAGCCTAAATCAAACAAGGAAAAGGACAACTCTTCCAAGGACAAAGAACAACAGGAAGAAAAGAAGGTTGGAAAACCGGACAAAGCTTAAGCTCCTCTCCAGCAGGCAATCAGCTCGACCAATAAGAAAACCAGGTGAACTATCCACAGGTTTGGACAAGCAGCCTTAGTAATTTATGCTGGTCTTGTAAGACTTTCAAATATTGTAAATATAAATAAATCATTGTTGTAATGTCCTATCTTGCAATTTAAACAGTTTATCATCACCACAAATACAAGTTTTTATAAATCTGAAGAAAAAAGTGTCACTCCTGAGAAAGCTTTGAACACATGTGCACACATAGTTCTTACGTCAATTGGTTGTCCAAGCAATGGAAATCTGATATGGGATTTGGTGCAAGACATGAATCACTCCAGCATCATCAAGAAGCGTTTCTGTCTCAGGATTAGAATCCATGTTGCGCCGACTGCAGGCAGGAAGCTCGACGGCCCCAACCTGTTTTGGAACATTTTAGAGCAACTTATAATCACATACTTGACTGGAACAAGTTAGTGACATATGTGTGACCATTACAGAACAATAAACAATCATAATGATCAGCCCCTCTCTTTGCAAAAAATGAATAAGCCCAAGATAATGTAAAAAAAAGGATTAGTGAGGAGTCATGAGCAGGTTTGTTTTTTAATCAAACAGGACATCACATGTCATGAATAATGCTTTGTTTGGAAGGGTTCCTTGTGACCAGAGAACCAGAGAGCGGATGCACATGGATGATGATGGGCAAAGAGAGGACGGGATTGGTCAGTCAGATCGTAGTGTGATCTCTGTCACTCCCTTCTTTTCCATCTCTTCATGTATCAAACACATCCATCTTGCTCTAGGAAAAACATCTTCTGCCTTTTTTTCCCATATTTGGTACAAGAATTAATGTTGTGACTTGATTTCATATAAATATTTAAAGAAACAAGGTATTATGGAACAAGAAGCCAATCACACACATTTTTTTGGTGTATACATACATACGTGTAGATGTAAATGGAGCATTCAGTCATAAGTTAATTGATAGAATTGTCCGGTGGGGTTGAGATGAGGATCAGGAAGAAGCTTCCCCTTATTAAGGAAGTCTTCGATGAGGCCCTGGAGTTGAAAGATCGAGGGTTTGCAATCGATATCATTCCAATTGAATTTGAGGGACGGATGAGCAGGGATCAAGATCCCACGATCCAAGAGAGTCTTGAGGAACTTGATGAACTGGGAACCGTAGATTTCAAAGAGTCTTTGGCTGGCGACTTCCAAGAAGGAGGCGAGGACTCTGGGCGTAGCAGTGAGGAAGATAAGCGGCAATTTGAGGGTATTAGCAAGCCATTTCCAGCTGGAATCGAGGCGCAATTCGGGCGGGATCCGCTGGAGTTGTTCCTGTTTGGGCACTCCTTTCAAGCTCGGGACGACGTCAGAGGGGTCGGACTGTTTGATGGCTGCAAAGATAGCGACGAGCCTGGCCATCCAGTTGTTGTATTGCACCCGACTCCTCTTGACTAGAGCTTTCAGACTGGTAGCCCAGCTGCTTCCGGTAATCTGCCTCCGATTGGCCTTCCTCCGGTATCGGCCGATAGGCCACTAGAAAGTAACACTTCTTGACTAGCCGTCCCATCAGGATCGTCCCCACCTCTGGATAGCCTATCATCATCAATCCTACCACCAGTCGGCCTAATGGGTACACTGTACTCAGTTTCGCCGTCACTTCCGTCCCCGCTTTCGCTAGATGGTTGCACACCCACAGGTACACACTTTCGTCGTGCTTTCGGGTCTCGTTCAAGACTCCACCTACTTCTAAAATCTATAAGAATCATAATGACAGTTTCAACTTGTATTCTCTGCTAAATCCTATGAATTTCATGATGGAAATTAAGAAAAAGAAGAGACTGACCACTTTCTCGATCTGACGGGAGCCATTGGTCAATTGACTTTCTTTGGGCGTGATTCTCCTCTTAGCCTGTCTACACAAAGTTTTGAAAGATTCGCTAGCAGAGACTGTAGGCAAGACGGATGACTTGAATTGTTGGATAGTCGAGTACGATTTCTTGTAATCATCGCGAACGGACTTGATAGTAGAGGCTTGAGCTTCCGAGAGTTTGAGTTCTTTGGCCTCTTTCTTCTGCCGTTCGAGTAGGTCTTGATGTTCATGTTCGAGCTTGCGCTTGGTCTCTGCCTCTTTGCGTTCCTCGAGTTGTTGTTGTTTGAGCAGCTCTTGTCGCTCGAGTTCTGCCTTTCAGCTAGCGGCTTCTTCTTGGCGGATTCGGTTGAGTCTGAGGAGCTCCTCCTGTTCGAGTTTCTTGGCCTCGGAGATCAAAGCCTCGAAGATTCGGGCGCGTTCCCGTTCGCGTTTCTCAAACTCCTCAGCGACCAGTCGCATCTGCCTCTCCTTGTTGAGGCCTATTCGGGCGAGGACTTTGCTGAGATCGTTCATCTGTTGTTTGTGTTGTTGTTCGCTGTTCTCGTTGGCCCGGGCGAGTGTGCGGACGTGAATGCCTTCGAAGTGTCGTCGACGGGCGGTCGCATTCTGGATCGATAGTTGGTAGGTCGATTGGCGCTCTTGCTGTTCCCAGACTAGTACTGGATCGTCGTCTGGTAAGAGGTGAGGTACGTTGAAGGATTCCAAGGCCTTGCTGGGCGCTCCTGGATCGCAGCGTTTGATCGGCCATTGCTCCTCTTCGCTATCCGGTTGCTCATCTTCCTCCTCCCCTTCATCGGAAGAGAAGCTGGTCTGTTCATCCAACCGAATCCGAAGCGATGAGCGGTTGATCGGGAATCCAGACGTACTGGACTTGAGGTTATGTGGGACGACGGCGAAGGGAGAAGGGGTGGTATCACTAGTCGGAACAGGTAAGCCGAGGTTGGCACTATATTCAAATCGACCATTAGCTTTTGTGATTTGATTGATTGGCACGCTAGATTAAAATAAAGTGCTAACTTGGCCGTTTTAGATGGATGGGTCTTCCTGGTGGATCCTGATAAGGAATGGTTGAGGGATCGAGACAGGAATGAGTTTGATGGTTTGGTTGGAGTGGAATAAGTGCCCGAGAAGTCGTTTGGGTTGTTGGTGGTGGACTTGGAGAGTGGATGTCAATGGTTTGGTTTTTTCTAATTCTTGGGTGATTGCTTCCTTGGTAGCTGTTGTCGTTCTTCTTCTTCTTCTTCCTCTCTTCCGCTCTCTGAGTCTGATCTTGGCACTCCAAACCGCACCTTGAGAATGTTGTGGGTGCTTTGCTCTTCCAGTCTTCCAGAGTTTGGTGGTTGCTGTTGGCCAGTCCCACTCCCATCTGAAGCTCACGATGCAGCCCACCTTGCCCGCTGTGTAACATCGTCCTCAGATTTATGAAGTCTATTCTACCCAACAACCATCATGACTCACTTATCTGCAACCACTATCGACCTCGAGAAGCTTATATTCAAACAGGATAGCTATACAATTGCAATGTTGGAAGTGATCTTTCTTCTTCCCAAGCTCACAGATTGAAAAACCGCGACTTCACTATTTGTTAAAGGCGTGTCAAAAACTCCAGGGGAGATTTATTACACTTCAATTTTCTAGGCAAACTTGGTTGAGAAACTCAATGTTTTGAGGGTGCGGTTTTCATGAGGATTGTCTGATCATGAAGTGTGAAAGGAGGCTCTGAAAGGTTAAACATGTGTGGTGGTAATTATTTTTTTACACAAATATAATACACAAACAACGATGATTTGATAAAAAAAGAAAATTACAACTTGATAGTCTTACATGGTTCTACATAAATAAGAAGTACACAGTATTATTACCTGGCTCAAAGCTGCAGAAGATCGAAATGGAACATCAGCAATATCGGCCTTTTTTCCCGTTGAGGTCGTCGAGGGTGTCATGAATCACTTCCGACAGAAGCCGACGCGTCACTGGTCCCGAGGCGCTTCAGTATTGACTTATGGTCTCCACGCTTTCAACCAGCGGAGCCGCAATCTCAGGGTTCTTGGGCTCTTCCTTTTGGTCCTTGCGTTCCTCTTTGCGTTCCTCCTTACGTTCCTCCTTCGGATCTTTCTGGTCCTTGTGCTCCTCCTTGTGTTCCTCCTTGGGGTCTTTGTGGTCCTTGTGCTCCTCTTTGTGATCTTTGTGCTCCTTGTGTTCTCCGTTGTCGTCTTTGTGGTCCTTGTTTTCTTCCTGATGATCCTTGTGGTTCTTGTCTTCCTCCTTGTGATCCTTGTTGTCCTTCTTTTCCTCCTTGCTATCTTTCTTTTCCTTCTTTTCATCCTTGTTATCTTTCTTTTCCTTCTTTTCCTCCTCGTGATCCTTCTTGTCCTTGTTCTCCTCCTTGTGATCTTTCTTGTCCTTGTTTTCCTCCTTGTGATCCTTGGGCTCCTCCTTGTGGTCCTTATTTTCCTTCTTTGCCGCGTCTTCCTTTTCCTTAGGTGTTTCTGGCTTATTCTCCTGGGATGGCGTGGGTTGGTTTTGCCGAGTCGAAGCTTCAGAATTAGGTACCGCATCTGCTCGTTTCCGGATAGCCTTTCCGACCGAGTGCTCTGCTTGGTTGGTGTGGGCTGGTAGCTGAGAAGTTCCACCGATGGAAGAGGCGCTGCTTCCAGCTTTGGTTGGACCAGCAGCGCTTGCCTTGGGGTCGGTCTTCCCGGCATGATGAGCTTTCATTTCTTCTGGCGATTCGCTCGGCAGGTGATGTCGCTTCTGATTCACTGGTGGCTTGGGTGCCCCGATAGGAGAGCTATGGTTTCCAGCTTTGGTATAACCGCCGGCGCTTGCCTTGGATTTGATCTTCTCGGCAAGGTCGGGTTTCATTTCATCTGGAGATTCGCTCGGCAGGTGGTGTCGCTTCTGATTCACTGGAGGCTTGGGTCCCCCGATAGGAGAGGTGTGGTTTCCAGCTTTGGTATAACCACCAGCGCTTGTCTTGGATTTGGTCTTCTCGTCAAGGACAGGTTTCGTTTCCTCTGGCGCTTCACTCGGGGAGTGATGTCGCTTGTTGTTCACTGGAGGGTTGGATCCTCCGCTGGGAGGCGTATTATTTCCAGCTTTTGGAAGACTGGCAGCGTTTGACTTGGCCTTAAGTTTCTCCATAAAGTTGGCTTTCTTCTCATCCGCTGATATACCCGACGAATCCGCTCGCTTAGTCTTCGGCGCTTTTTTCCCGCCGGTTGGAGTGGGACTACTTTCAGCACCAGCTGTGCCATCAGCATTTGGCTTAATTGCTACTCCGTCTAACATGGCTTTGACCTGTTGTGGCGATTGCTTCTGGGAATTGCTGGCTGATTTCTGGGACATTATTGGTGTTTCTGGAGTCTTGGTATTTCCGGAAGATCCAGTGGGCTTCTGGCCGCCTCTGGCATTCGAGGGAACTGGAGATCGACTGATAAAAATCAAGGAAAAGCAGCAACACGATCAGAGAAGTTTTTTCTTGGTTGTTTATCTTTTACGGCAATCATTCTTCAGCTGGGCTCTCTCAAATTGAAATATACTCACTTGGGATTATTGGCAATTCCGGCAGGCACAGTAGCAGCTTGATTGAGATTTCTCGGATCGGTGTTGGCATTGTTGCCTCCTAAGACCCCGGAAGGAGATGGGGATGCACTGATGAGGGTCAAGGAACAACACAGTCAGAAATTTGTTGCACCAACTTGATTCTTGGGTTGGACTCCCGGAATTTGTAAAGGCACTCACTCGTTTGGTTTGGCTATCGCGGTGGTTCTTGTGACGACACGTGCTTCAATATTCAAGAAGGAAGACGCGACAACGACGATGGAAATAAGTTGGGCAAGTTTGAAAGAAACCATGGTGGTGATCTGACTTTGGTATAGTTGTTGGCTTTGTTGATTTTACTGAGACTTGTTATTGACAAAATTGAGTAGATCAGAAAGTTGTTGAAAGCCCGGCTTTATAAACAGATATGATTTGAAAATAAGATACAATGAACAGTCGATATTCGAGTTCGGTACTGGTATATAGACAGTAGAAGATAATTGGGATGTGGTGAGAAATGAAAAACGTTAGATGGATAACACCTCTTTAAATGGTGCAATTACCACCCAAGTTCTCTTGGTCGACCTCAAACCCCAAGTTGAGTGGACGCCTTACTCAGAGTCTTTGAACACCCTGGTATTGTCTTTGCAAGCGTAAAGACTTGAAGATATGCCCAAGGAGTGGTCATGTTGCGAGTACCAAGTTGCCATTCTAAACAGGAATATATGGGTTTCTCTTTATCACCAGTTGTTTGGTCGACGACTCCGCCTAGCTCTGGCTCATCATAATCGTGGCTAAATATTGAGCTTGATTGATCGTAAGAAAGGGAAAGGGAGCAAGGCTCAGCCTCCAGGCACTCGGCATCAACCATAGGCAGAGTCACTTTTTCCACAGGGTCATGACTCATATATGTGAACGTGGCTGCAGCATTGAGCCAAGTCAAACGCGTAGTCAAACTCCCTCGAGCAACGAAACTTAATTGCTAGATTCTTGCCTTGTCCTCAGACCTTGGCCTGTCTTCTGAGGTATCATCTTCGTCAAACAGTGCATCCCGAATTTTGATTTTGCTAGTGCATCCCAATTCCCTCAAAGTTCCGTCACCTATTGCTAATGCTACCCGAAAAGTGAATGTCACAGCAATCATGATGAAGCTTTAATCAAACAAGTCAGGGAACAGAGCCGTTTTGATTTGCACAAGTCTGTCACTGCTTCAAGACTCGTCGGACAAACCAGTCCACAAGAGCCTGGACACACTTTGTTCAAAAAGTCCCACAGTCCATCAAAGTTAAACTTAACACAAGTCTCAGGCTGCGGGGGGGGCGCATCTGGCAGCGCGCTGGCCAGGCGGGCAGGGGAGACTTGCGCCAAAAGTCACTGACTTGGGTGCTGAGTTTCCACTGTTTTGGTGGGAGTGTCACAAGATTCGGAATCATGACGCCCCCCCAAAACTTTGAGAATGTCTGGCCCAGAATTCTTGAAAGGCTAGACAAACCTATTGATCCAGCCAAAATTCAGAATTTGAACATCACAACAGTAATCAAGATTGATTTTCTAAAATTAAGGTTTGAAATTTTTTTGAGCTGAAATGTGGGGTTTGCTCAACTTGGGCCCACCAAAAGAAGCCCACTTGATTTGAAAAGTCAACCTTTTCAAAAACCATCTGTAAATGATTAGCAAACATAACAAAAAAATGAACACAGGGAAATGTGGCCAAGAAGCAGGCCTCCCCTGTCCCAGAAGGAAACTACATGGATGTGAATGAGTGAGTGCTGAGAGTGGATAGCACACAAAAAAGTGAGTTTTCATCCCAATTCTGAAAACTCGCCACACGGGGATTGCCTCATCAGTCATAGGCCTCCACTGGTGTGGACAGCTCCACTACTTGCTCCCACTCCTGCTGTGGAGGCCTAGTTAAGCTCAGCAGTCCATCACCTCTGGGCTGCCAGTAAAGTTGCTGACAGGAAAGACTGACCCTGGATTTTGGAGGGAGTCCAAATTTTTTGGCCCATTTTTTTTTTTGTATTGACTGCAAGGTTTTGATCTAGCCCTTTTGAGACCACAGTGACAAAACATTACCTCCAAACATGGAAGCAATTGTCTGTAAGCACTCAAAATAGATTCTACAGGTACTTTAGGGACCTCCAAGGGGTATAAGACCATGCATAAGAATCACTTAAAACATGGTTATGGGTTTGAGTATGGCTTTTGGTAGGCATGTTCAAATACATGCATTTCAGACAGATAGCAAACAAAAACTGCTAGGGTAGAAGCTTAGTGGTAATAATTTTGAACTCTACACATCTTTAGGAGTTCAAAATTTCAATAAAAATAAGTGTCAGGGTATATGCCCCCAAATTCAATTTTGGGTCCATTTTTGTGGTCTGCAACTGTATATGTAGTCCACCCAAGAACTTGTTGGACTGGTTTGTCCAAAAAGTCCATTGATGCGCTGTCTATGTATTGGATCCCTGGCTGCCTCAAATTCACAATTAACATGGTTGCACTACATAAATGTTTTAAAATTTGGTATAGAACTTTCAAAATTTGGTCCAGAACTTCTAAACTTTGGTCCAGAACTTTAGCAGTGCCTTTGTACAGGGTTATGCTGGAAAATCGCACAAGAAATAAGGGAGGTTTTGATTCAGATTAACATGATCTGACAATGATACAAGGCTTGGATTGTAGTCTTAATAGCACAGGTATATATGTACATGTCTCCTAACAACAAATGCAAAGTTTGGAATAGTTACAATTACATAACCATCTCAACCCTGTTTCAGCCCCCCTGTAGCATCAAAGGGGGCCATTTTAGTAGGTTAACTGGAACTGGAGCTACAGTCAAGTAGTAGTTAATGTTACATTATGTCACCTGACATCTAGCAAGCACTTTTTTTTGCTGGTGATGAAGAATTTATTGAACTGGCCAAAACCTTTGGCTGTAAAGTTTCATGAGCAGTGACTTCCTTTAGACAGCTCAATGTAAAGGTGCCCCACATGCTACATGACCAGGCAAGTGAACACTGAAACAATCTGGATCTGACATACATATGTGTTTGTAAAATTTATTGAACTGAAAAAAAAACTTTGAATGTGGATTTTAATTACCATCAAGCCATGAACCACTGCTGATTTCAGATAATAGGATTCAAAATCATCAGAGACATACATGTTGTAAAATTTGTTCCAGAACTTGTAAAATTTGGTCCAGAACCTTAGCAGTGCATTTTGACAGGCTTGCACTGGAAAACAGTACAAGATATAGGGGAGGTTTTGATTCAGTGTACCATGATCTGAAAATGATACAAGGCTTGGATTGTAGTATTAATAGCACAGGTATATATGTACATGTCTCCTAACAACAAATGCAAAGTTTGGAATAGTTACAATTACATAACCATCTCAACCCTGTTTCAGCCCCCCTGTAGCATCAAAGGGGGCCATTTTAGTAGGTTAACTGGAACTGGAGCTACAGCAAAGTAGTAGTCCATTTTAAATTATGTCAATTGACATCTAGCATGCATTGTTTTTCCTGGTTATGCAGAATTTATTGAACTGGCCAAAACCTTTGGCTGTAAAGTTTCATGAGCAGTGCCTTCCTTTAGACAGCTCAATGCAAAGGTGCCCCACATGCAACATGACCAGGCAAGTGAAGACTGAAACAATCTGGATCTGACATATGTATGTGTGTGTAAAATTTATTGAACTGAAAAAAAAAACTTTGACTGTGGAGTTTCATTACCATCAAGCCATGCACCACTGCTAATTTCAGATAATTGCAGTCAAAATCATCACAGATGATTCTATAAAAGGGCCCCTCTCTCCCAAGCCAAAGTGTTTTCTCCAGAGAAGTTACTTTCAAAACATAAGGTAAATTGTTTACTCCATAATTCAATAAAGTTTATTGTCATAATTTTGCTGGATTTATAATACACCCTTGATTTATTTATTAATGAGCCAAGTGCAGACATAAAATTGCACTTTAAAAATTAAGTGATGCTTGCTGATTAACATGATTGATTATTAAATTCACAGTCATTTCAAGCTTCATATTTACTCAAAACTTCACAATTATCTAAAAACTCAAAAAATAAATTTCAAGCCTTTGAAATAGTAAGTTTCATGGATTAGGATTTCTTTATATAATTGCTGAAAGCTGATATTTTTTGATGTGCATTGTGAAAACAAAAGCAAAATGAAACTGGCTTTTCTATCCTTTGCAATCAGTGTACTAATTGCTACAGCTCCAGAATGTTCAGGATTGAAAACCTTTCAACTAGGTGATAAAACAATCACTTATCTCAATGTTCATACTGAAGAAACACCACAATTTTCAATTGAATTGGGCTCTACATTTATAAAACTCAATAGCTACACCCAGAGACCCGATACTAGTCCTTGTGGTCAACCGGCAAGATACGTGATGATGTGTAGCAGCCATGGAAATATTACTATGGATAGCAACAGAACTCTGAAAATGCTCATGCGTGCAGATGGAATCAATCCCAAAATGTTTTTGGTACAACCTTGGAATTTGTATGACAAACCAGAAAATTACAAGTACACTGATCTCTTAGCCTATGTATAACATGGAAAGTCAATTTAACCACTTCTGTAATTGCAAATTACTGAAACTACATTATTCAGATTGCAAGAAATAACATGTCTAGTTTTTTCTCCTGTCTTGAATGATTTTTTTCCTGTTTGTTGCAATCTGAGCTTTGTTTGGTTTGATTCCTTGACTGAATATCGTTCTTTGTGATTTCATCTTCATGATAGCTGCACCCAAAATCTACTATCATCACTCTCATAAAAAGTATCCTGGAAATTGTTTTCTTCTTCTCAGATGGTATGAAACTTTACATCTAGCTTTTTCTTTCTGATCAAATTTTCAATACCTTCCAAACTGGGACAGAGTAGAAAAAAATATATGTTGAGGTTTATGATAGTCTACTACCATGATATATCACTGTAGTATGGTGGAGCTGTTTGTTTGAACCATAAGCAGTACCACTCAACTGGCCAATTGCTCCTTGGGGATGGAGCTGTTGCCTTTTATATTTATTACCTTGGAGAAGTCTAGAATGATGTGTTATGGAGAGGGGCAGAGATAATATGCTTGAATTATCAAGGGAAGTGAGTTAGGTGGAGATTGGATTTTAAGACAGAAGAGGGGGAATGGTGCAACCAATGGTGGGCTGCTACGCTACACTACGCTAAAGGGCCACTAAGCATTAGCATAGCGGCACTAAAAGGGGGCCCTTTTTCTGTATTGTTAGCATGCCGCTACCTCCGCTAACAGGTGGCTTTTTTCTTTGTAGTATTAGCGCACTGCTACAGCTGCTATGTTG